CCCATTGCAGGCTACTGGCCCCGCCCCTGTCGCCATGGGGACTGCGGGGGGGGACATGGACACCTGGAAAGTGACGACTTTTAATAATGTTAAATATTTTGAGACCTGATGTTCTCCTGGCTTGTGTCAGCCTCTGCCTGTCAGGCTCCGCCCCCTGGTGTGCTGGGGGTGGGGACTGTGCCAGGCTCCGCCCCCTGGTGTGCTAGGGGTGGGGACTGTGCCAGGCTCCGCCCCCTGGTGTGCTGGGGGTGGGGACTGTGCCAGGCTCCGCCCCCTGGTGTGCTGGGGTTGGGGACTGTGCCAGGCTCCGCCCCCTGGTGTGCTAGGGGTGGGGACTGTGCCAGGCTCCGCCCCTTGCCCTGCTGGGGGTGGGGACAGGGCTGGGCTCTGCCCCTCAATTACCCCCCTCCCCCGTCATGCTGGGCTCTGCCCCGACACCCCCACAGCCATGTTGGGCTCCTCCCCCAACCCTCCAGCTGCCTAGGGGGCCAGGGATAAATCCAGGCTCTGCCCCCCCAAGCCGGTCCCCTCAGGGGCTCTGGCTTGGCCCAGCTGGTCGCCCCGCTCTGGGGGAGCTGGCCCCTGACGTAGCCGGGGCCTCGCAGGGCTCAGGCCCACCCCCCCTCATCTGGGGTCTCTGCCCCCCAGCGCTGGCACCGCTCTGTCACTCCCTCCCTGGGACCTGCCCCCACCTCCACCAGTCTGCTGCTCCCCGGGACCCTGGTGATGGCAGCCCACCCCTGGCTGCTCCCCCTGCCCTGCGTGTGGGACCTCTTGACCCCACATCTCGGGTCCATGTCACTTCCCCCAGCCCCACCCCACGGGACACAGACCTGCCCCAGACCCGGGGAAAGAATCAGCCTCCAGACGGCAGATGGCAAATCAGTGTTTAATGCCCACGTGGGTGCAAGGGGCCCTGGGCAGTCGCATGGCCAAGTGGGATGGTTGTGGTGGCGCAGGGGGCGGGGAGCCGGGTGTGTGTGTGGATGGTGATGGGTCACAGCCCTGCATAGTGTGTGGTGGGGGGGAGGGGAGTGGGTGGCGGCGGCTCAGGGCCCGGCCCCGTGGCACTCCCCGGCGGCGGCTCAGGGCACGGCCCCGTGGCACTCCCCGGCGGCGGCTCAGGGCCCGGCCCCCTGGCACTCCCCGGCGGCGGCTCAGGGCCCGGCCCCCTGGCCCTCCCCCAGCAGGCGCAGCAGCAGGGCGTGCAGCCGCGGGCACAGGCGGGCGTAGCCGTGCCGGCTGAGGTGCAGGTAGTCGTACATGTCGTGGTGGCTGATGGCGCCGTCCGAGTGCACGAAGCCGGGGTCGGCGTCCAGGAAGCAGGCGTTGGGCAGCCGCGGCAGCCGGGCCTCCAGCAGCTCGTTCACCCGCCGGTTCCGCTCCCGCAGCGGGTTGGGGCCCTGGCCGCGGGGCAGCAGGCCCTGGGGGGAGACGTGGCGCCGTCAGGTCTGGTGGAGGGGCCCCGGCGTCCCCCCCACACACACACTGTGCCCTGTACTCACCAGCACCACCACGCGTGCCTGCGGCTGCTGCTCCTGCAGGAGCCGGACAATGGCCTCGATGCCGCCCGCCACCTGCTCGGCCGTGTGCCCGTGGTTATTGGTGCCCACCCAGACGACCACGATCTGCAGGGAGGCCAGGTGTGACGGGGGGGACAGGTGCTGCCCCCTAGGGAGTCCCCAGAGCAGCCTCCTCTTCCCTCGGCCTCTGTCAGCTCCCCGCCCCCCACATCCCACT